ACTGCATTCCTTTGTCAACACGGCTAACTATTAACACCAGTGTTCGTTTATGGAGAATTATTTAATCGATATAACGTTATATCAGCTGAATAAAAGCTGTCTAAATGTATATATTAATAAAACAACAGTATTGTCCTGCACTGATAATTAGCATCTTGTTTGGTGTTTCACAATGGATTACCGAGCAGCTAGTTAGGCTAATCTGAATCATCGGACCTACCTTGACAACGATATTCGGTGAATTTATAATCTGATCAACAGAACCTTATCCAAAACAAACACATCGAGTGTAAACCTTGAAAAAAATGAGAATATGTTGATAATGGATATAAGATACGCTGCTCCGATGTTGTTTGCAAATCGAGGCTGTTGTTATCGACGGCACCGCAAGGAATCATGGGACTGAGTTAAACGTTGACGTCGCGACATTTGAAACAAAACAAAAATGTTATGTTTTTAAAAGGGAAAAGACAAACTTCAATTTTTTTTTGTACGGAGAAAAATACTATCAAGCATTTGGTTAAAAAAGTACATACTATATATTATGGAAAATATTGTGCATTTAATTTTTACATTTAGTTAAAATAGTAATACTATATCCAAAATGTTGATTAAAAGACTAACAAGTACATAGCGTAAATAAATAAATAGATATTGCATTTAAGTATACTTAAGTGTTTTGACGTAAAAAAAAAAAAAAAAAAAAAAAAAACTATCAGTGATACTAAAATAACAGTGTTGTGGACCATTTACACCATTTTATTTTGCCATTGGCTTTGTACTGAAGTACCAGTACTTTTGACATCCCTGCTTGAAAGGTAAAGTTTTGCTTTGAATTTGTTTTACAGGCAGCAGAGACGGTAAAGAGGCAGCCCAAGTCACAATGTCTGTCAGCGCTGGTCTCTCCCATCTTCAGAGAGGTAAAAGCGCCCGAAACACTCATCTTAAACTCTCACGTATATAATCAAACACCCTGACTGGAGATTCTCACTTCTCACTGTAACTCTAACACTATCACTTTTTTTTATCACAGTAGCAGCAGATAAGGCAGCAGTAAAGTGTAATAAAATGTGATAAGCTCTATATGTTGTAGAGTTAAGTGTTAGTCTGTCTGCTCTCCAGCTGAAGGAGAAGAGGAGGGCATGTGGAGGAGGAATGGGTGCCATAGAGGAGCTGGAGAATGCCTTCAACCTGGCAGAAGAGTCCTGCCCTGGCATCTCTGACCTCCTGGTCACACACATGATGGAATAAAGAAAACAGTGGTTAGGTTTTTATGAAAAAAAAAAAAAAAAAAAAAAGTAAATACTTTTCTTAGCTTTTTAAGCAAGAGACAGTCGTGATTTTCCCATTTTAGTATTTAGATGCAGAAACTTTGTAAAGACTACGCTACTTACACTAAAAATATATTTGGCTGTTTAATTCAAAGAAAAGCTCAACTTATATGAGCATGGTTGATTGAAATGTTAGTTTGTAAATCATTAACAAAAGTTTAAGTTGTGATTACTGATGTATTTTGTCTCTAAATATTGAAATAGAGTAAAATCTTTTTTTTTGTTGCCCTTATAAATGTAACTGAGTAATAGTACACGAATTATGTTTTAACAGAACCTAAATAACGCACAAAATCCCCAAAATAATATCTAAGTGTATAGTAGTGAAGTAACTACTACTACTCAAATACTTTACATTTCTTGTTTCTTTATACAAAAAAGAGGAAAGAGATAAGAGTAGGAAAGAGATAAGAGAAGAGATGCCACGTACATCAAATGGTAAATTATTGAAAGCCATTGAGTCATGGTGTCAGTCATAAAACTATATTATATTTATATTTTCTTTTCCATTGCTCTAAAACAAACTTTATTTTGACAAGAACACATGAGACCGGAAGTGACCATCCTTAGCGCACCGCAGTTCATGGCCGTCTTGGGAGCGTGTTTGTTGTGCTTCTGCTCTATTTGATGATGAACAAACATCACTAAATCACAAAAACAATACACTTCACTGTGTAAGTTAGAGTGTGTATTACCACACGTCGCACAAAATGCCACGTTCATACTTGAAAACAGACGAGGCGAGAGATGCTGCGGAGATGAAATATTTACTCGCATCCAAAATTAGGAGGCGAAAAGAAGAAATTCATAACTACATACTAGAAAGGCGAGCTGAAATTCACAAACGAATCAGATATCGAAGGCATCTTTTCCTCAATTACCGGAGCACGAGAACGGTAAAGTGTTATTTCTGTATATGTTTACTAAGCATTTCTAAGACACGGTGATGAGAAGAGTACATATTAGTCCAGTCACTTTTATTTACATAGCGCTTTATACTATACAGATGCTTTCAAAGCAGCTTCGCAGTTATAAACAGGAAAATATCAGAATCAACAATGCAGACTAGTGTCAGTGCAGTCAATACATAATACGGTAGGGTGACTATACGTGCCATTTTCCCAGGACGCGTCCTGGCCAGGATTTGTTTTGGCTTTGTTTTCCTGTTTTGATGCTTGCTGAAGGTAATGATCGAAAAGTAGTTTGACCAATAACATGCAAGCATTGTACATAATGGACCAATCATGGCGTGTGAGAAGGTGGGATCTACGGTCAAAGCGATGCAATTACGCGTACATATTAGGTGTGTTCGACTTAAAAGCAGTGCGGCTCAGACCGATCAGTGTTTGACATCAAAGTACCTCGAGAGCGTTTCGAAAGCATAACCGTCTGTATGCTACTTTGATGTCATACACCGATCGGTCTGCACACGCAAACAAAGCCAAAACCTAGATATTGTAGGCAATATAGAAATCCTGGCCAGGACGCGTCCTGGGAAAATGGCGCGTATGGTCACCCTATAATACGGTAATAAGTAAAGAGACTCAATTCCTTATTGAATTAATGCCAGTCTGCATTCATGCAGTACGTTTTTTTTTTTTCTGTCAATGTTTTAGATACCATCACCAGATGAAGAAGACCTGCAAAATCATGTCCCAATCCTTGCAGACCCAGACTGGTGGGAGAGAGTTGTGATGACAGAGTTTGGACCAGAAGACTGGCTTGACAAGTTCCACGTCACAAGAGACATCTTCCTTCTTCTGAGCGCTAAACTCAAGCCTCAGCTCGAGCAAGTGTATATAGAACAAAGTGGACAGACCATTACACTGGAGAGATGTATTGCCATGGCCTTAATGCGTTTGTCCACCAGCACAGAATACTGCTTTTTAAGTGAACTCTTCGGTGTGCCCATCCCAGCTGTGTGTCAGTGTGTACGAGAGGTATGTGAAGCCATCATTTTGTTACTAAAACCCCTCTACATGCAGTTACCCGCAGATCATGAACTTGAAGAACATGCGGAGCAGTTTCGTACTCTGTGGGGTTTTCCTCACTGCATTGGTGTCATCGACTCCCTTCACATCCCTGTTAAATCGCCCTCCACGGACACTCAGGATTGCTGGAACCAGAGAGGATGGCACTCTGTGGTGCTTCAGGGTGTGGTAAACGCACAAGGTAATTTCTGGGACGTTTGTTCCGGTTTTACAGGCAGCATGGATGACATGACCATCTTGCAGAGCTCAGAGCTGTGGACAATGGCAGAACAGGGAGGCTTCTGCTCTCAGCCACCCAAAGAACTGATGGGTCAACCGTTGGGATTTCTGCTGCTGGGGGATGTGGGTTATTCGCTTCAGACCTGGCTACTGAAGTGCTATCCTCCGTTGTCAAATCTAACACCGCAACAGCAAACCTTCAACGTCCAGCTGAACCATGGCCTTAAAGTCATCGAGAATGCCTTCCAGCATCTTAAAGCACGATGGCAGTGTCTGCACAACAGAAATGACAGCAATGTAGACTTGGTATCCAAGATGGCTGTAGCTTGCTGTATCTTGCACAATATCTGTAATGTGCATAACAGTCCGTTTAAAGAGGAGTGGGTTGAAGCACTCAGTCAGAATGAATGTCCACAGCCCACAGACGTGCCTACGGTCTATATAGATGATCCAAACGCAGAGGCAGTTCGTTCTCTGCTCTGTAGCTATTTTGAGCAACAACAGCCGAGCAAAACACTTGATCCATCTCCAACAAGCAGCCCGGTTCTGCCTGTACCTGAGCCTCCTCAAGTGGACAGTGCTGGAACAGCATAGTTTGTGTATTGATTGATCATTACAGTGGGTTTATAGCTGCCATTTAATACTTTGAAAATAAACTTGGTAGAAAGTGTGTAAATTGATTGTATTTAAATCCTAGTCTTGTAATATATGACTCTAAGATTATCTGTTTTATTATTTTTTATGAATGAGTGACTTTTAAATCATTTGACTTGTTACGTTTTATTTGGCGTCTAATGTATCAATATTATGTAAATGTTAAGTTCAAGTGATTTTCTGTTTTTGTTGAAATAAATAAAAATACTTATGGCAGTTTAATGTGTTTTTGTGATTTCTAAAAATTACTTAAAACCCCCAAAATCATCATTTATTCACGTCATGTTGATCAACCCTGAAACAACATACAGAACTACCACATTTTGCTATAAGTTTGATTGCATCATATAATAATTGTTAGTTTGATTGTTCATCGTCTGTTTGATTACGTATTTAATTGATTTTTCCATACATATCTGCCATATGTACATTAACTGACAATCACCACTGATAAGAACTACCACATTTTGCTATACGTTTGATTGCATCATATAATAATTGTTAGTTTGATTACGTCTTTAATTGATTTTTCCGTACATTTCTGCCATATGTACATTGATTGACAGTCACCACTGATAAGCTACCACTAAATATTGTAGAAACTTAATTTGCTGTAAAGTTGCTTTGCAACGATTTGTATCTTGGAAAGCGCTATACAAATAAACTTGAATTGAATTGAATGTTGTTTCCGAACTCTTATGAGTCCTCGAGTTAAAAAGGTTGATAACCGCAGTTTGTTTACAAATTTTAGAACGGGTTCAGTCCAATCCAGTAGGTGGCGCTCTACAAATACGAACAATTCGAAATCTAGCTACTGGATGACACGAGTGAGACAGTTCCTTCTTGAGTGGACGGCATGGAGAGCACTGTATGACTGAAAAAACAACATCTCCGCTTGTAGTAAGTTCAATATTCAGATAATTCAGCGACTGTAACGAATCAGATTGTGAATTCGGTTAGCGTCATTCTGTCTTAACTCTGTAATGTTTTCAAACCCGTCATTCTGGCGGCTGCATAACAACACACTTACACACAGCTGACAGAGAGACTCGTGTGTACTGCTGGCACAGAGATGGCAATATCCAGGCCTTTTCTTCCATAGTGCAACACCGTGACTCTTTAAAACCATATTGACCTGTCTTTCTAGATAGTACTATATTATAGAACGAGCACAAAAAGTTGCAAAAATGTGTACAATTGAACATACTGAATGAGTAATCTTTTTCTGACACATGCATCATCATGTATGTGTAACGTAATAGATATCCGAGGCAAAAATTCCCGTTTTCTCCCTGTCTTGTCCACACTGACACAGCTACTCAGATATTGTAGAGGAAAGTCTCTAGGCATTACTATGGTAACCGATGTTGCCAACCATTCGTGAATGATTCGGATCTTTTCAGTGAATCGGTAGCACTGGTTCTCAAAACCAGTCTGAACGATTCGTTTACGTACCGTCTCTTTCTATTATTCTTTACATTCATTCCTAAAAACTCATTCTGAAAATATAAAGCAATACGCAAATTTCTGCCATACATTTAATTGTCTGTTAATATAAGCTTCTAAATTCTTAAAAAATAATCTTGAGTAAATCAGGATCTCATCATAAAGTAAAAGAATTGCTTTGAATTGGTTCATTAAAAACCGATTTGCAGTAATGAGACTAGTAACCGATATATTGGATATTGATTTCCCCTATTCAAACAGTAGACTAGTAACCAATATATTGGATATTGATTTCCCCTATTCAAACAGTAGACTAGTAACCAATATATTGGATATTGATTTCCCCTATTCAAACAGTTGACAAGCAAAACAGTAAGTCCTAAAGATTGGATTTGTTTGTAGTCTATGAAGGCCAAAAAATGCTGTCTAAGTAGCAGCTCACAAGGTTTTGAATCATCATATGAGTCATGAGTCATTTCATTACTTAGTTATTATGAAGCATGTGGTCAAACTTTTGTTGTTTGTAAATGTAGGTTCTGTATATATGCTGCTCTCTGGAGTACTCAGTTTAACCTGTGCATAAGGACATCATCCTGATACTGAAAGCTTCCTCATGGCAAATCATGCGGATATATCAGCGGTGGGGAGGATTCTTGTCAACCCAAAGCAGGACCTGACAAAGCGCTTTAGAGCACTTTTTACTCTCCGCAACCTTGGTGGACCAGAGGCCATTACATGGATCAGTGAAGCTTTTGTGGATGAATCTGCACTTCTGAAGCATGAGCTGGCATACTGCCTCGGCCAAATGCAAGACGAGCGGGCCATTCCTATCCTGGAGACGGTCCTGAAAGACACTAATCAAGAGCCAATGGTCAGACATGAAGCAGGTGAGATGTACAGTCATATTCTTCCTTCTTTCTTTCCTTTTTTGTTTTTAGATATGTCATATAGTGTTTTTATTATATTTTAAATTCCAGGAGAAGCACTGGGAGCCATTGGAAATCCCAAAGTCTTAGATTTATTGAAGAAATATGCAGAAGATCCAGTAATTGAGGTACAGTCAACCCATATCACCAAACTATTCACCCATTCATTGTTACACTAACGCTAGAATGTCCTGCTGTGCATTTCGATTATGCTCAAAGTTCAGGTTTTACATGAATTCACAGGTGGCAGAAACATGTCAGCTGGCAGTCCAGAGGCTGGAGTGGCTCGTGAATGATGGGGAAAAGACAGCAGAGGGGACAGATGAGAACCCCTACTGCTCCGTAGACCCTGCACCCCCTGCCCCAAGAAAAACTGTCCCAGAACTGAGGGCACAGCTCTTAGACGAAAGCCTGTCGCTGTTTGACCGCTATAGAGCTATGTTTGCACTGAGGAATCTTGGGACTGAAGAGGCTGTTCTGGCTCTTGGAGATGGTGAGAAAGATTTAAATTGAGATCTATAGATCACAAAATAACGTAAATAACAATGCATGTATTTGAAAAAAAATACAGTAAAAGCAGTAGTATTGTGAAGTATTATTACAATTTAAATGAACTGTTTATGAACTTTTAATTTATTTTAAAATGCGATTTATTGCTGAGATGGCAAAGCTAAATTTTCTGCTGAATTTACTTCAGTCAGTGTTACATGATCATTCAGAAATCATTCTAATATGCTGATTTGTTGCTCAATAAATATTTTTTTTATATTATCAGTATTGAAAACATTTTCTTTTTTCTTTTTTTTTCTAAATCGAAATCTTTTGTAACCTTATAAACTGCCACGCGTCATCAATTTAATGCATCCTTCTTAAATAAAGATATTATTTTTACTTTTAGGTCTTCAATGCAGCAGTGCCTTGTTCCGCCATGAGATCGGCTACGTCTTGGGTCAGATCCAGCACGAGGCCAGCATCCCTCAGCTGCAGGCAGCTTTGGAGAAGACCGATGAGAACGCCATGGTCAGACACGAGTGCGCAGAAGCACTGGGCTCCATCGGGAAGGAGGCGTGCTTACAGATCCTAGAGCGCTACAGGAAGGACCAGGAGCGGGTGGTGAAGGAGAGCTGTGAGGTGGCACTGGACATGCTGGAGTATGAGAACAGCTCGCAGTTCCAGTACGCTGTTCCAGACGGACTGCTTAGACTGCAAAGCGCTTAGTGAAACACATTTCCTAAAACATGTTAATGTTACACAGCTGATCCATATTTCGAACTCAAGTGAAAGCATTTCAAATGCTTGAACATTTAATAAACACTTAATCAATAAACAATTTTTGCAGATACAGCAAAAAAAAAATCCTCCCTTGAAAAAACAGGAATACATTTACATAATAAAAGCATTTATTTGACCACATATACTTGTGTCTTATTCTTCCTTTAAGCTTTAACATTTTGCGGCATGAATATTTGTGATTAAGTTTCTAATCTCCAGTAAAGTCTGTGACTAATGTTAAATCCTCCACGCATGAGCAGAGGTGATTAGCAGAGCTAAGAGCGCTAGTGCTCGTCTGAGATCTATAACAGTACGTTCTGCCTAACTAATCCACACAGCAGTCTATCTCATTCAATAAGATTCATCTTTAGAGAAGCACACATGGAATTAAAATCCAAATGCTCTAATTCTTAAGTGATCATCCCTATCTAGCATATCAGAAAATTAGCTTTAAACAAACAGAAATGAGAAGCATTGCATTCTGATCACTCTTGTATATTTGTATAAAACAATAAATCGGCAACTTTAAAAAACAAATTTGCCCTGTTATGAGTTTAGTAGATGAAAGTACATGTGCACTGCTAATTTACTGATGATAGTGTGGATGGAGGGTGACAAACCTGGAATGTTGTGCTCAGCAAAGTCTCTGAGGATATTTAAGCCCTCATTTGAGTTTGGGGGGAGAAGAGATGACCACGTTCTGAAGAAAAGGCTGGACCAAACCGCAGAAAAAGGCTAAAAGTAACACAAAGCAGAGAAACTCTGTAGACGGCAGTTAGGGAGAAACTTGCAAACATGCTACACCCCTTCATGATTGGTATTGTCACAATTAATACCTCCATCACCATTGCATACTGGATCTTCATTTTGACAGAAGCCTTTCACAAGAAGACTGATGATGAAGCCAAAAAAGACAACCCTGCTTAGCCAACGCACCCTTAATATAGTTACGTGTAGAGAAGGTTAGAGTAGAGCTTCTTTTGTGTCTTATATTTTTATTTAATAATGTAGATAACTTGAGGGGGGAAAAGATCTCGCCATTTGAATAATCTGACTTGAGCAAGTATTTCATGATTCCAGCTTTTCAGGAACTGTTTTACTTTCAGGTAACATTACATTAAAAAAAAAAAAGTTTTTTGTTCTGCTGTTTCATATTTTTGTTAACATTTTCATTTTTATTGTTTTCTAAATTATTTTGTGTTTCATGAATGTTTTCCTTTTTGAAAAGACATTAAATCACCTCAACAGATTTGAAAAACATGCTACTGCTTCATGCTACACTTCAAAAGCTGATGTCGGTAAGTCTCTTATGCTCATCAAGGCTGCATTCGTTAATTAAAAAATACAGTAAAAACAGTAATATTGTGAAATATTAAAATTGAAAACTTTCCATGTTAACATTTTTTAAACATATTTTAAAGCCAATACTCCGGTCTTTAGTGACCTTTCAGAAATCATTCTAATATGCTGATTTGGTGTTTAAGTAGCATTTCTTCTTATCATATTATTTCATTATTTTCTAGATTCTTTGATGAATAGAAAGACTTTTGTAACAATTTTTCAATGTCACCTTTGATCAATTCAATGCATCCTTGCTGAATAAGTGATTTAAAAAAACGATAGTGAACGGTAGTAAATTCTATGGATTTTTAAAAATTATTTAGATTAAATCCTTTTAATTTTAGATAAGTATTCCATTAAGAAAAATATATATTTCTCAAAATCATTGTAAATACACATCAGGTTCCATTCAGTGGAGTAAAGTCTTGATAACTAGCCCTTTATACCTTTCATAATCTGTGTAACAAGCACGGAGAAATGACTCAAATGAGCATTAGAGATGGGCAGGGAGATGAATAATATAGATCAGATATGACTCATAGGATCAGATCTGTCTGAATCACTGACTCAACCACACAAAAGCTCTTCCTCTGTCAGTCAGTCAGACAGACAGAGACTCTGAGAGAGTTTGTGCAGCATCAGCCTCTGGAAGAACAACACCGCAGCTGAAATTAGACATGCATCCCATATTGATCAGCATAGTGGCAGCCAACACAAGCTTATCTATTGTCTACTGGAACTCTTCTGTCTCAGGTTTTCTGCAAGAAGATCAAAGATGCACCACAACCTGAGGAAATTCCAGTCTGAGTGAGTATTATTATTATGAGAGTCGTTGGACTATTACTCTTACAAGATAATTTGCTGAATCCTGCACTGTAAAACAACAGTTTCAGCGCCAAGACTCATTACTGTACTGTGGATGTCTTTGATTTGATTTTATTATTTACTTTGACTGTAAGGAATTTTATGACTTAAATGATTGAAGGTTGTGAGTAAAGGAATTTGAGTTGGGGGGGAAAAGAGAAAAAAAAGTCCTAATGAAGAGAACAAACACTGTTCCCATCTTCACAAATCTCAAAAACAGGACACATAAAATCGAAAGTGACATTTATAATGTACTAAAGATTTCTGTTTCATATAATTGTTCTTTAATCAGCATCATTTTGATAATACACTGATAATACGAAATGTTTCTTGAGCATCAAATCAGCATTTTTGAATGATTTCTAAAGGATCGTGTGACACTGAAGACTGGATTAATGGCTACATTTTAAAATATATTAATAGTAAATAAAAAATTGCAATAATATTTCACAATATTACTGTTTTTACTGTATTCCTGATCAAATAAATGCAGCCTTGGTGAGCATAAGAGACATTAAAATATACTGACCAAAGTTTTGAATGTTAAGTTGTAGGAAGTTGTGTCACAACTGACAACAATTAAGGCTTACAGCCTTTCACTGACAGAAAGGTGATACTGTCTTACAGGTCTGTAAAAATTTTATTTCTGATCTATCTGATAGTGGACTTGCTGATATCTTTTTGCTCCATCCCCTGCTTTAGCTCAGATGTTGCTTTATCAATCCATTCTCATACACTGTAAATAAAACCAATTGGAATAATTATGGCACAGTATACTGTTTTAGTATAACATATTCTTGGTGTATAATGTAATTTAAAAACCTTTTTAAAATGTAAAAACACACCCACTCCCTCTTGAGAGTGAACAGGAGCATCTTAGACGGGATTAGGTGGATTACTGTATAGCTAACCCTTGATTAAAAGCTTTCACCTTCATGAAAGACAGCTGCCATTAACAGCAATGTAATATCAGAGTCAGTGAGATGTCAGCCAAAGGATTAAGCCTGGGATTAAGAGAATCATATCAGGCTACTTCAGAGCACATTCACTGGCCTTTACCACAGAATAATGAACTCTGGTCATAATTAGCACGTATAGCTACATTTGAAAACATTACATTTCCTTTTACACACAGGTGGAGGCCTTGGTCGTGATCCTGACGATGAAGAGGAAGAAGAAGAACCACCAAAACTGATCTTTGGGAAGGAAGTAGGGATGAGGGAGAGAAAATAAGAACAAAGGAGGAACAGACTGCCATTTGACCCAGAAGTGGACGGATAGAAATTCTGCCAGGATTTAAGTCTTCTGTATTTGAAAAATCATGGGGTTAAAAAGGTGTCACTGAATAGATTTATAAACAACCCTCTCTCTCTTTCATCCATTAGTCCATCTTCACAAGCCCAAATCTCTTGCTCAACCACTAATAAAAATTTAAAAAATCAATCAATCTTTCTTTGTCAGTGCCGCTCATTTCCACTTGTTGTAAACTTACTAGAAAATCCAAAGCTTATGTGTTTTAAGTTTGTATTTTATTTTTATGTTTTTTTTTTTCACTATATTTAGCAAAATAACTAAAAAAGTTTTGTGAATATCTATCTGTCTTACTCTTTTACATGTGTCTCATTCCCTCAATAATAAATGAATACAACAGATAGCACTGAGTTGTTTACATGGCAATTGTTATCTTGTACTCTCTGATCCGGATTAGCATGATTAGCATGTGCTGGCTCCTGCAGGAATGTTCAGCACAGATAGAGGGTGCTGTGTGCTCAACATAGAGGACATACTTCTGTTCTCCAAAGTCAATGAAAGCACCAACCTTATTTAAGTTACACGCAATTTGTACATCCTGTACTGTGATCCACTGGACCACGTGTTTGGGCTTGTGGATATGTCCAGTTGTTACATTAAAAAGTTGTTGCTACATGATCTAACCATTACAAATACTTTGGTTGGTGTAATGTAATGAAGTCAGGACATTCAGACCAGGACATTCAAAGATTCAGAACATTGAAGGATTTAAGACAGATTTCACAGAACACTATACAGTATGTTTTAGAATTTAGCAAGACTATAGTTCATTTCCTGAACTGAATACCATGACCAAGTTATAATTGTTTTCATTGACGTCATTGGTTACATTGCCCTTTAAAATATGCCAACAGGTGTTGAGACGCAGACACCTAATAGAAAAAAAGGCTAAATCCAGGCTCAAGGCTTCTCCTTACGCCACTAAGCACATTAGCTTGATTGTCTTCTGCTGTCAAAGTATCAGGTCTGAGGGAAGCCCTGTCACAGAAACAGTCATTCAAGGACTATCATTCTGTGGCATACTTTCTTGTGATTCTGTGAATATGCAACAAAAAGGAAGATGACTGTTGAGCATTCAGCATCAGAAAAAGAGAGAGAGGAGGAGGGCGAGATAGAAAGCTAGAAGATGACAGGTGTCTGTCAATGAGGAACAAAAGCTTTGTGGGGTATGTACACAACATATTATCTTATTATCTGACCATAAACATAGCTAAATTATACTGACTTGCAGATATATTGTATCTAACCCTACCTCTAATCCCTAGTTCAACCCTAATCCTAACCAACCTAAAGTAAGTTTACCATAAATAAAGACAATATAAACGGTTACATTTCTAACATTCTATATGATTCTAAAGTATTCTTTAGTACACCAAGTTGTATCAGAGCTGAATAAGTTACACAAAATTAAAACTGTAGCAGAGCTTTGAAATGTTTTTTTTTTGTTCGTTTTGTTTTGTTTGTTATTGAAAGGGTTCTGCCTGTCTTTTGTCTACGTAATAAAGTTGCAATTGTGAGTGAACCTGCTGTAATGCAAGACAAATTTCAGACTTTAGTCTGACAATAAAGTTATATTGTATAATAAATGAATAAATTACATTTTTAAATTAAAAAACAGTTATTTTAAATTGTAATAATATTTCACATGACTTTTTTACTGTATTATTGATCAAATAAAAGTAGCCCTGGTGAACATAGTGACTTCTTTCAAAAACATTAAAATAAAACATTGAATAAATATACAATTTTAAATCATGTTTACTTTTTGTTTTTACCTAGATCAACAGAAAATGAAGGAAAAGATGATGTTAAACTGAAACACAGTGGAGCAAACAACAATACTTATGGATTTAGACAAAAACAATGAAAGTCTTGATGAGGACTTTTTCAAGGACTACAAACCCCCAGAAAATGATCTGCTCACTCCACCCAAGCATATCATTTATCTGCTGCTGGCTGTGAGCGTGACAGGAGTCACCCTTTTCGCCATCATAAGACACCTCATCCAGGATCTCATCCATGATCTGGCAGGTATGTAACAAGAAAATTTACACATGTCTCTTTCACCATAAGCAATTTCAAACCCTCTGTGCACATTATCTGGTTAGTTGTCTATGAGCTACATGACATGGTGTTCAAAATCCCTGGAAACGGGAAAACACTTGACTGCTCTGCCAAATGCATAAACCTGCCAAAGATGTTTTGCTGTTCTCCAAGCCTTGGGTTTTTTTTTTTTTTTTTTGGCTGGTCAGCTTTAGAGACCAGCTAAGCCATTTGAATACAAGCCTAGACTCCATGATTCTAATAGCTGTCAACATCTAAAACATTTAAAAACCTTTGAAGAAATCTAACAGCAAAACATCAAGCATTAATAATACATTCATTAAAAAAGACACTGGCACTCTGTTGTACTATAAGAACATCAGCTGAGCACTCTTGCCTGTATATTGTGTCTGTAGATTTCCTGTTTGGAGAGCAGCCTGTGGAAGAGCCGGAGACGTTCTGGGAACGGCGGGATAAGTTTAGGGCAGACTGGATTCCAGAGGCAATGCCTGAGCTGGAGGCCATGGTGAGAGATGAGGATATACAAGAACTCATGGAGGGCACTGAAGACTTGCCAGCCATCTGGGTTATATCGGACAAGTTTCAGCCTCGTGCTCCATCCTCCGTTCAAATAGATGTTAGCGGCAGCTAGCATGAAATAAGTACAAGACTCTTCTCCTCTGAATGCTAACACTGATATACTGTGATAAAATGTCATCCATCTAGTGCAAGATGAGTCGTCGTTATTTTTCTTTTTTTCCCAGAAGAGAAAGACTGTCATTTTTTTATGTGTATATCTGCTCAACGTGAATTCTGTCAATATTTGTGAGAGCAGTTGGATAGAGATGACCTCAAAGCAAACCTGAGTGACATGCTGTGATCTGTGACCTCTCTAATGGATTTTGTACTTTGGACACCAAGAATCCTTCACATATTTACAGACGACTGAGAGGAACGCAGCAGTGCGTGCGGACTGTAAATTCATCATGTTTCATCTACAGAATATCGTTGCCTTCATAATAATCTCTGCCTCTATTTGTCAGGCTCAAGCTGGTGAGTGAAATTAGACACATTTCATGTTGTAGTATATTCTTTTCAATGTGTTTTTCTTGACTAAATTTGAACTCCTTGAACTGATTTAACATATAAAAGTTGTATAGTAAAGCCTTCATAGTGTGTAAAACATTTACTGACAAAAAACCTTTCTGTGATACACTGTTACTCAGGTGGTCAACGGGCATCATCAGATACAGCTAAAGTCACATTACAGCCGTGGCTGGTGGGACTGACAGCAGTTGTTGTTTTTCTCTTTATTGTCTTTGTCCTCCTCATCGTGAAAAGACTCTTTTTCAAGAAAGACAAGTGAGTCCGGACCTGAAATGTTTCAGGACGATATATACTGTACATTAGATAAAAAAATCTACATAGTTCATAAAATACCTGATTCTTCTTTTTTACATAACTTTTGACAGTACATTCAATTTGTTTTGTGTTTTTCTTATAGCAATAGCAATAATACTTCTAGTTAAAAATTTTGATTTTGATAATTTGATTAGTCATGTAATAATATTATGGTGACGATGAGTTTATGGTTCTTTAAACAATTACTGCCATTTAATGACTGTACACTTCAAGATACTGTCAAGGCAATGTTCAGTCACCTGACAAGACACACCTAAAGACATAATGAACAAATGCATATCATGTTTAAACATTAATGTAACACATTGACAATATATTTTTTATTGTATACAATATATACAGTACTGTTAAAACGTTGGGGTCGGTAAGATTTCTAAGAAAATAATACTAATGATATTAATAATATTAATGTATAATGTTACAAAAGATTTCTATTTCAAATAAATGCTTTAGAATTTTCTATTCATCAAATAATCTTGAAAATATACAAATGAATATATTTGTCAACACAGGAATAAATTACATTTTAAAATATGAAAAAAAACTTTCCACTTTCCAAAAAAAAAATCTAGTCAACCCCAAACTTTTAAACAGTATGAGTACAAGATACTTTTCTTTTCAAAATTGTGACCCTGGACCACAACAGCAGTCATAAGTAGCACGGGTATATTTGTAGCAATAGCCAACAATGCATTGCATGGGTCAAAATGATAGATTTTTCTTTTTTGCCAAAAATCATTAGGATATTAAGTAAAGATCATGTTCCAAGAAGATCGTAAATATATGAAAACTTAATTTTTGATTAGTAATATGCATTGCTAAGGACTTAATTTGGACAACTTTAAAGGTGATTTTCTCAATATTTAGATTTTTTTGCACCCTCAGATTCCAGATTTTCAAATAGTTGGAAAAATCTTGGCCAAATATTGTCTTATCTTAACAAACCATACATCAATGGAAAGCTTATTTATTCAGCTTTCAAAAAAAATGGACCCTTGGTTTTGTGGTCCAGGGTTACAATTTTAAACTGCTTTCTACTTTGAATACATGATTAATCAATAAATAATTAAACTTAAACTTTTCAATTCACCAGCCCATCCCATTTCTGAGTTTGTATGAGTTTTATTAATTATTAAACTGTCTAGTCCCAGTGCAAGGCGACTCTTTAAACATAAAGCATTTCATCAATGTGTATCTCCCTTTGCAGAGATGAGCTAGAAGAAGAAAGGCATTCATTTTATGAAAACAAAGCAGCTGATCTGGAGGCAAATGAGGAGACCAAGCAGACCACTTTCTAATGAGAAGAACAGATGACCACAGTCCTGCAGCACACAAATCTTTCTCTCTCTGGAAATTATGCCACAACTTTGTGCAGAGTAATTATAATACTATCTTATGTAATATATCTTTTTAACATTAATTTTGGTCTAAGTTTTGTTTTTGTCTTCATAAGTGTTGTTCCTCACATCATCCACTAGATGGAGCAGACTTCACCTAGTCACAGCTTTAAACTAAAGTTAAAATAAAAAAAGGTTCCAATAAAGTGGTACTCTCTCTCTCTCTCTCTGTCTCTTTTAATTAATTTAGATTTTTTTGGCATATTCTCAATACACGTTTTACTACTTTGCTGTAACTGTAACTTGGGTAGGGTTTAAACATTCATTAGGGTAGTGAGAACATTGCAATAGAAGAGCACACGCTCAGTGATTCACATCATGCACATAATGCTCTGATTAACTGGCTTTTGACTCGTATGACATGTCTGGGTTCTGCATGCATATATGCTAAATGGACATGGGTATGAGATCCATTACTCATTTTGACTGGCAGTTTGGACATGTTAAATGCTTCCAGTCAAATGATGTTACACAGGTTTGCTTTTGAAACCATTTGCTCGTCTCGGGGGATTATATGATGAAAATATAATTTGCAGAAAAAATGGCCAGGTGTTCAAATGTGTTAATGATGGAGACCATTATTGTACAGCGTTAAAGCTAAAGTAGACTTTGGTCTGGCGTTGCCTAAATGAACAATCTGATTAGTAAGACTATCGAGCTGTTCGTGATGATGTAATAAACTCCCTAATGCATGCTTTTTATATGGGTTAAAGGGGAACGCTTCCAGTTTTACACTCTTAATGTGAACTTAAGAACTACTGGTATTTCATAACATTTTAATTAACATTTAGATGTTGTTGTCCTGGCTGTACTTCTCAAGGTGTCCTATACATGGGAAACAGTTTAGCTGAAATAGTGCTGATGAGTGACAGTAACTAAGCCTGCCCTACAGTCAGCAGCAACAAGTGAAGCATGAAACCAGAGAGAGAGACTTCACTTCAGTCTCCTCTTTCTCATTCACCACTGCTGCCTTGACATTTTTATTTCCTTGTTTTTATTCTGGTTCCTGAGCGACGTCATCTTTGCTTCACGCTTCCCTTGAGCGCTGGTGACAGATGAATTATTTGTTCTCTTCTATTACTGTGAAGTTAAATGACAAAACCTCAGATAAAAACATTCTGAAGCTAAAGGGTAAGAGATACTGATGAAACAACCATCAGTAAATCAGTTGAGCTCTGCAGATCTGATTTAAATCTGTTTCATTTTCTTGAATCAATAAATCTAATTCAATAAATGCTACCGCTCAAAAGTTTAGGGCCGGTAAGATTTTTAAGACTCTTATGCTCATAAGGCTGCATTTATTTGATTCAAAATACAATAAAACAGCAAAAGTATAAGAAATATTATTAGACTTTAAAATAACTTTTTTCTATTTTATTATGTTTTAATGTAATTTATTCCTGTGATGCAAAGCTGAATTTTCAGCAGCTATTACTCCAGTCTTCAGTGTCACATGATCCTTCAGAAGTTATATGCTGATTTAGTACTTAAGTAACATTTCTCGTTATGATAAATTTATATTTTTGTGTAAACTGTGATCATTTTTCAGGATTCTTTGATATGAACAGAGAACACAAAGAACAGCATTTAGTAGTTTTTTTTTTGCAACATTGTAAAAGTCTTTGCTGACACTTTGCTGAATAAAAGTATTAATTTCTTTAAAAAAAATCTTATTAACTCAAAACATTTGAACAGTAGTGAACCTGAAATATCATTTGAAAAAAATTAAAGTATGCATTTAAAAAATACTATACTGCATTAACTTCAACTAAAGCTAAAGTTGAGAAGCTGAATTTCAGCTAAATGTTTAAGCAACACCAAGATCATTGGTTCGATTCCCTGAGAATGCTTGAACTGATCAAATGTACTGTATAGTGTGAATGCAATGTAAGTTTCGTTGGATAAAATCATTTACCAAATGCATAAATATAAAATGTAAATTGCAATAAAAAAACTCACAACATAAACTTGTGCCTGTGAGAAGCGTGAGTCACGTTCATACTGCATTAGGCACGCCACTCTCACTCCAGAAATCTCTCTGTATAGCCGAGTGACCTGATTGTGATCTTATTGCAAAGAGGGGAGTCCTCGGGGAGTTGCAGTCCGTTGTTAAGACATCTGGACCCCATTACTGTTGCATGCTTTTACAAGGCCTTCACATCACGTACTGTAAATCGAAATATTCAATTCATAAGCACAGCTAGAGAGAAACTTCAATCACTTTGAACCTGCAAGTCTAAAGAGATATAATCAAAACAATCACAATTAAAATTTCTGCAGCGCTCAAAGTGCAGAACAAAGAATAGACCACCCTCAACCTGTACACACACACACACACACACACATATATATATATACAGTATATATAACCATTTCATGCTCTTATGAGTCTTCAGAGAAGGAATCGTGCACTGGAAAACATTACTTTAATATAAAAACTGACCATAAATAATAAGCCCACATACCATTTGACCCACTTTTTTATTTTATATATTTTTTTATTTTGAAATAAAAAACACAGTATTAGAGAAAATATGAGAGAAGTGATTTGTTTTACAGCAAGTAGACAATTGTTACTCTGTTTTACATCTTGGAGCCGACTGAATATTCAGTTCTTGAGTTATTTGAAAACTTAAATATTTTTCAAACTAACACCCAAGAATCCATTGTGTCAACTATGCGCACACAGCTTGTTCTTCCTTTTCTTCTAAAAGACCTCATGAAATGAAAATTATGAAAACGGCATAACTTACTTTTGTAACAGGACGTTGGAATGTATCAAATGGAAGATGAATTGAAGACAATTTGCTAGTCAGCAGCATGTGGTCTCAGAGGACAGGAAATGATCCTTCCAGAGAGAATCTGATTGGACAAAAAATGTCATCCATCTAGTGCAAGATGAGTCGTCGTTATTTTTCTCTGTTTTCCCCAGAAGAGAAAGACTGTCATTTTTTTATGTGTATATCTGCTCAACGTGAATTCTGTCAATATTTGTGAGAGCAGTTGGATAGAGATGACCTCAAAGCAAACGCACATGGTCTAAATGAAACAAAACTCTAAATTTGAATAAATAAGGTGTTTTAAATCTTCTCCTCTGAATGCTAACACTGATATACTGTGATAAAATGTCATCCATCTAGTGCAAGATGAGTCGTCGTTATTTTTCTTTTTTTCCCAGAAGAGAAAGACTGTCATTTTTTTATGTGTATATCTGCTCAACGTGAATTCTGTCAATATTTGTGAGAGCAGTTGGATAGAGATGACCTCAAAGCAAACGCACATGGTCTAAATGAAACAAAACTCTAAATTTGAATAAATAAGGTGTTTTAAATTTTTTGACATACTGTTGCACTATATCTATGCACTATATCAATTCAATAGACGTTTTTGTGTCTATGAGCCCTTACAGAAGTTTAACCTGGCACGACCTTCTGTTCTGTGCCAGCTTGGAAAGTAAACCTTTGTCTTTACAACATAATAGCATGTAACATTTTCAGTGGGAGATTATCTAGCAATCACGCACACTTACTGTGCGTTCACACCGCCGGTGGCGAGAGCGTCAAAGTGACCGGAAGACATTCATTTTCAATGTGATCGGGCGGCGAGGAGCGGCGCGGCGCGTCTTGGCCGGCGAGGGCGTCAAGGAGAGTTGAAATCAGTTCAACTTTATGGTAATGAACTATGACGAGTTGTTGTTTTTCTCTTTATTGTCTTCGTCCTCCTCATCGTGAAAAGACTCTTTTTCAAGAAAGACAAGTGAGTCCGGACCTGAAATGTTTCAGGACGATATATACTGTACATTAGATAAAAAAATCTACATAGTTCATAAAATACCTGATTCTTCTTTTTTACATAACTTTTGACAGTACATTCAATTTGTTTTGTGTTTTTCTTATAGCAATAGCAATAATACTTCTAGTTAAAAATTTTGATTTTGATAATTTGATTAGTCATGTAATAATATTATGGTGACGATGAGTTTATGGTTCTTTAAACAATTACTGCCATTTAATGACTGTACACTTCAAGATACTGTCAAGGCAATGTTCAGTCACCTGACAAGACACACCTAAAGACATAATGAACAAATGCATATCATGTTTAAACATTAATGTAACACATTGACAATATATTTTTTATTGTATACAATATATACAGTACTGTTAAAACGTTGGGGTCGGTAAGATTTCTAAGAAAATAATACTAATGATATTAATAATATTAATGTATAATGTTACAAAAGATTTCTATTTCAAATAAATGCTTTAGAATTTTCTATTCATCAAATAATCTTGAAAATATACAAATGAATATATTTGTCAACACAGGAATAAATTACATTTTAAAATATGAAAAAAAACTTTCCACTTTCCAAAAAAAAAATCTAGTCAACCCCAAACTTTTAAACAGTATGAGTACAAGATACTTTTCTTTTCAAAATTGTGACCCTGGACCACAACAGCAGTCATAAGTAGCACGGGTATATTTGTAGCAATAGCCAACAATGCATTGCATGGGTCAAAATGATAGATTTTTCTTTTTTGCCAAAAATCATTAGGATATTAAGTAAAGATCATGTTCCAAGAAGATCGTAAATATATGAAAACTTAATTTTTGATTAGTAATATGCATTGCTAAGGACTTAATTTGGACAACTTTAAAGGTGATTTTCTCAATATTTAGATTTTTTTGCACCCTCAGATTCCAGATTTTCAAATAGTTGGAAAAATCTTGGCCAAATATTGTCTTATCTTAACAAACCATACATCAATGGAAAGCTTATTTATTCAGCTTTCAAAAAAAATGGACCCTTGGTTTTGTGGTCCAGGGTTACAATTTTAAACTGCTTTCTACTTTGAATACATGATTAATCAATAAATAATTAAACTTAAACTTTTCAATTCACCAGCCCATCCCATTTCTGAGTTTGTATGAGTTTTATTAATTATTAAACTGTCTAGTCCCAGTGCAAGGCGACTCTTTAAACATAAAGCATTTCATCAATGTGTATCTCCCTTTGCAGAGATGAGCTAGAAGAAGAAAGGCATTCATTTTATGAAAACAAAGCAGCTGATCTGGAGGCAAATGAGGAGACCAAGCAGACCACTTTCTAATGAGAAGAACAGATGACCACAGTCCTGCAGCACACAAATCTTTCTCTCTCTGGAAATTATGCCACAACTTTGTGCAGAGTAATTATAATACTATCTTATGTAATATATCTTTTTAACATTAATTTTGGTCTAAGTTTTGTTTTTGTCTTCATAAGTGTTGTTCCTCACATCATCCACTAGATGGAGCAGACTTCACCTAGTCACAGCTTTAAACTAAAGTTAAAATAAAAAAAGGTTCCAATAAAGTGGTACTCTCTCTCTCTCTCTCTGTCTCTTTTAATTAATTTAGATTTTTTTGGCATATTCTCAATACACGTTTTACTACTTTGCTGTAACTGTAACTTGGGTAGGGTTTAAACATTCATTAGGGTAGTGAGAACATTGCAATAGAAGAGCACACGCTCAGTGATTCACATCATGCACATAATGCTCTGATTAACTGGCTTTTGACTCGTATGACATGTCTGGGTTCTGCATGCATATATGCTAAATGGACATGGGTATGAGATCCATTACTCATTTTGACTGGCAGTTTGGACATGTTAAATGCTTCCAGTCAAATGATGTTACACAGGTTTGCTTTTGAAACCATTTGCTCGTCTCGGGGGATTATATGATGAAAATA